TTTTCTTCTGCTGTAAGAAGTCTGTAAAGTAGGAGAGTCCTTGGTGTTGCACCCAGCCAAACTGGAAGTGGCACTATGCTGTGCCACCTTAGCTGGGCCCTGTGTCAAGTGAAAACAGAAAGTGCAGCCCCCTGCTTGGTGGTTGGGACACTTATCCATCCTAGATCTGTGTAACAGCCCAGCTCCACTGGCCTTGGCTACCAGCCACTCTTCCATCCCTCTGAATTGAGGGTCACTGAGTGGCTGAACTTTCAGTAGTAGAGCCCTAAACATAAATGGAACCAACTGAACCACTCTGCCTATTTCCCCTCAAATCTCTTCCCAAAGACTGCCTATTGTACAAATTCACTGAAAAAGGTGCTCCAGCAAGTGTACCCAGACAAAAGATGTTCCAATAATTGTACAGATTTATTACAGAACGCAATACTAAACCGCTATTTTACATGTCAGCTTTAAAGCTTGTGAAAAGCAACTAAACACATGCATAAGACCAGTACATAAATCAGTTCGATAAAATAGCTTTGTAAATATTTATGTACTCAGTGCTCTCAGTTTCATGCTCGCTTCCTTTACCTTCACCTCTTAAATTTCCCCTCTCTTTAGTTTATGGCTGTGTGTGGTTTTGGTTGTCTGCCTGACATTGCTTAATTACTTACTGCTTCCTCTGGTATCATATACCATATTCCTAAATCTTCACAGACTCTGATTACCTTAGGAATTGGATGCAATTATTAAACAAGACTCAATAGAACTGTTGTGTAAGTAAAGGAGAGGCTCTGCATGACAAATTTATCGCTTCAGTGGCAGCATCCCATTGGAGGCAGCAGACGGGCAAAGCAGGCGATGGTCCAATCTCCATTGCTGGAGAAAGAGTCCACACTGCCATGCTGTACTTCTTCCTTGCAGCAATCATAGATATTTCTGAGGCCTTTCTTACATGTAATTACTGTGGCGAGGATTGCATTTGCCCAACACTGGAAAAGTGAAGAACCACCCACCGATGAACTGATCCTAAAAAAGATCTTGGATTGTGCAGAAATTGACAGATTGACTTTGTCATTGAAGGAGAAAGAAGATACTGATTTCTATCAAACTTGGGACTCTTTTTATTATTGTCTAGAGAAATGGGACTTCGTATAGATTTAGATATGTTTTTAAGTTATCATAAATAGAAAAAATGTGGGGGCTGACCCAGCAGGTCCGATGTTTCTGATGATTGATGTTGTTTTTAGTTTTCCTTGGTTTTAGGGTTATTTTGAATAAAACTTACTATTAAAAAAAAAGATATTTCTGAGGCCTTCTGGCTTTGCAAGCCAGTCACATGGATTTTAGTAAAGTAATAGAGGTCATGCAGACAATTGTTCTGCTTTTTCTGAGGCACTACAAATGTATTTGTTTACTAGGCAGTTCAATCCTACGACCCTAGATAGCCATAGAATTATTTGGAGTCTCAGCTCTGATCTTTGAAGTATGTTCCAACATCAGAGTTCGAACTCTGAGTTTGGTGCATCTCCCCAATGCAAATAGAATCTCAATGGAAGCGATCCATGATATAATACTAATAAACATGTCATTTTAACTAAACTGAGCATCAAATATTAAACATATTTTAGGGATTAGTGTAATAACACAAATCCTTAAATTACTAAAATGCTTTAAAAAACATTGAAAGCCTGAGGAAACTAGCCTTGTACCAAAATTTAGCAATATGGACAGCAGCTGAACTTCCCTTGGAAGATCTTTCCAAAGCTGGGAGCTCTTTGATTTCTCATTCTGCCATTTCCCTTTCTCTCCTTTTGCTTTCTGCTTTCTGTCCTATGCAGAGGATTACCAGGGAAAGGGCAAATCACTCTTGACAGGATCTGAACTAAATACATGCACAGGCATTTGGAATTAGGCTTGAAGCCACAACTACAGGTTCACTACCCCTGTTGAGGATATAGAGCCTACAGTTTTTAATGACCACCTAACAGGCACAAATTGTGTAGCCAGCATAAGTCTCCATCAGGAAAAAGGTTGACAAGCGTAGGTAGTTCTTTTCTTGATCATTCACAAACTATCCTCATCCACCATCCTTACCAAGGGCAGATCCTCTTGCACTTGCTAAACCACTGGCACCATTAGATCTTAACTTTGATAGTTTTGCTATTGTGAATTGCTGAGTTTTCCTTTCTTCAGGGGTTTGGACCCAGTGGCCTTACTGGACCCTTCCAAATCTTGTATGATTCTGTCTTTCAGTTCTGTGGTTCTCAAGGATAATGTGTACCACCATTTCTGCTGAGGTTCTTGTTTAACACTCCCAAGGTGATCTCAGTTCCATTCAGTCATTCTTCCCTGTCTGCAGTAAATATATGGAGAGTGATGGCATAAGATCTTACCAGCTTTGGCCACAAAATCTGCACAAGGAGCAGGATAACTGAGAAGGATCACCAATGTGTACATAAGTAGCAGCTCCATGCAATTAGGCCCACTATACTGTCAAGCATTTACATGTGTATGCTCAGCTTAGTAGATATTCCACAGGGCAGGGCTAGAAATGTGCAGCAATGTCAAGGGTAGGGCAGCAGAGTTAGAGTTCACATGGAGGAATCACTGAAATGGACCCATTTCACTTCAGTATTCATACCACAAACAGTTAGTTTAGACATATATTTTCATCATGTCATTAGTCAACACTTTATGGTTTGCAACTCCCATGATATGCAGCTGAATATCAGTTGAAAAGTATTGGTTGTAGTAGCTCATGACATCCCAGGGTTTTTTTTTAAATGAGCAGGAGTGAACAAGCATGCTGGATCCTGATAGCTTGATTGTTTCAACTGTAACTAAACAGCCCAGGAAAAATCTGCCCCTGGGTTGTTTATCATAACATCTAGCACTCCATGTTATTGGGAAAGAGAAAGCAAATGAAGTGAAATGAGGCAAGATACTACTAAGCACCACACTTCTAGAATCCTTTCTCAGACAGGCTTACCTGGCCTGAGCATACATTTTGGGGCCAGGTATAGGTCTTCCCAGACATATTAGTCTGTCAGTTTCTGTTGTCTTTAAATATGATATTTTAAATTTTTACACTGCTACTACTTTTTAATGTTGGTTTTAGACTGTCATTTTTGGTTTTATACTGTCATAATACACATTTAAAAGTTGTGTATTATGTTCTATAATGCTGTATTTTATGGTTTTAATTGTTGTGAGAGTTTCAGCTATGGGCAGAATAAAATGTAATAAACAAATGCAATAAAAGTCAACAGCTCAGTACTTAATTTTGCGGTTGTCAAGTGATGGACATCCCTGAGTGGATCAGCTTGAAGCAGTGAGAGGCTTCCCACAGGGTAAAATGAACAATCGTAAGATATCATAGCATGAAAAACTAGAAGCAAGGACATTTCCAAAGGTTGTTAATATGACCTTCCACCATATTGCTGATGTATCATTCATGCTATGTAACTAAGCAGGGGAAATCATTTGTGACTTCAGCCCTCTTCCTGTGTATAGAATCAGACCCCTCTGTATGGATAAACAAAAATAGGAGGTATGGGCCACTGGCATTACTTTGACATGGCCCAGTTAAAGTATTTCAGTTCTGTTTAATTTTGTGGAAAAGGGCTGATAACAGTATAGCGTGTATTTCAGCTGCTTCTTGCTGCTCTAACTGGAAGATCTTTTTTGGCATGGAAGAAGAGAAATAGCATGAGGAGTTGCCAAGAAAAATGTATTGATGTTTGGTCAAATGTGCTGTTTCCCTCTGCTGGGTGCCACCTGAATAGTTTAGACCATCATACAAATCTTGCAACAACAGAGTGATTGACTTTAAAACATTGACATTTCCAGTGTGTTTCTTCTGCTGCAAACAAGCAGCCTAGCTCAGTCTTCATCTCTGGGAGTGTAAATCAGTACTAATGGCAATGCAGTTAATGGGGAGTAGTGGCCTCATCAAATTAGTGGGAAGGAAAGCATAAAACGTTACATCCATCCTGGACCTCCATGCTTTTAGAGCATTGCCCGAAGCTAAAGTATGCATGAATACTTGCTCTGCTTAGCTTCTGAATATTGTCTTAGAATGAAATTGCACAGCCAGTGGGGCTGGCTGTCATATAGGACCCAGAAAATGAGTAATGATTGCCATCTTTCATTATAGGGTGCTATTGACATTTTATCTAACAGCTTTATGGTGTTCACTATCTCAGAGATCTTTAACGGTGCCCCTGTAAGGTTGGCTGGTATTATTGTGCCTGCATTGTAAATGAGAGGCTGAGAAACTGCTGTTGTCTCAAGCCAATCACTGAATTCATGGCTGAGGTAAAATTTAGTCTGGAGAGTTCCTAGATTTTGCTCTCAGCCCTGCTGCTACACTTGCATGCATGGGCTAGTTTGCTTGGGTCTGATGGCTTGGATTTGACTTCCGCAACCCGGGCCATGCTGGCTGGGGATGACAGGAGATATTGTGCATCTTTGAGGGCCAGTCTGGGGATAGCTCATTGAGATGCTGCAAAACTGTATCCGTTCACGCATTCAAAGAATGGCTAAGGAAATGTAAAACTGAAGTCACCCTCCAAGTCACAGTTGTGGATGTGTTTCCCCAAGCATGCCTCGACTCCCACGCCAGTCTCTGCGAAGGAATAGAGGCAGGCGCCACACTGAAAAACCTCCTGTGAAAATGAAATTGTCTCGGTGCTACTGAATCTGAAAGCTGCTTTGTTTAACACTAAGTGCAGTTGGAGCTATTGTATTGTCTAACTGGGTATGTGGCTTAATCCCATCCCTGCCACTTTCTAACAGGATAATGTAAAAGCCATTCTATAGGGACGAAAATAATAATTTGTTAATTCCCCTCAGTATTTCACACTCCCCCGCAGTGTAGCTAATTTTCCTCTGAATACCTTATTAAAATTCACAATGGCTTTGCAGACCCACCCTAATAGCCCTCCACTGAGGCCAGAACTGTGAAGGTGAGAGCTAACAAAGATGCAATCATTTTCTCTCCTCCATGCTTCTAGGTTTTATTATACCGGCTTCCATCCTTTGAGGGCTGTGCAGATGATGAGAGTGGCCAAATTGCAGTACAGCCAAGACATGTTTTCTCAGGCCCTGGACACCTTGAAGCAGGTCAGTTTTGCCCATGATGGTCCATCTATTTTTCCTTTCTTTATCCCTGCAATCATCTCTGCCAATCTACTACCATCAACGCAAGTATTTTCCACACCTTTTTAGCTCACCCCACTTTTTAAATCCCATCCACTAACACCCCTCCTCTTTTGATCTACACCAGCTCCTTAGGCAATGACTGCAAAGTTAGGTGATGGGTCACTGCAGCTTACATAGTTTCCAGGGGTGACTTCCTTTAATATCAGTTGTTGGTAATTACTGTTCAATAGCTGGGGGGGGGGGTATCATTAATCACCCCTTAACCTTGAATGGCAAATACCTATTAAGCTGAATGAATGAAAGACTATTTCAGTGCCTTAGTCGGTTCTCATCCCACTTTTTAAAAATTGATCATGTCCTGCATCAAGCTGAGTGAGAAAGATAAGATACAGAGTAGGTGAAAAGAGAGATGTGGGTGGTCATAGGGAAGACCTTGTCTTCCAGCATATGATGAGTATAAAACTCATCTGGAACATGGGCTTTTGACACAAAAAAGGAAAAATCAAAATCTTAACACGGACTGATGCCTAAAATATGATTTTCAACTGATATATTTGAGTTGACATTTAGCAAGGCTCCATCTTAAAGATCTGTCCATTGGAACTGTGCACAGAGAATTTTGGTAGTTTTAATTCAGAGTCTTGTAAAAGTCATGGAGAGCAAAGCAGAAAGTAGCAGTGGCTGCACTGCATTTTTCAGGATTGCAAGAAAATCCTAATCAAACATTTGCGGGGTGGCAGGGAGAATGATGAGAAGAGTTTATCTCCATAAAAGATCTGATCAGAATTAATACCATTATGACTTGCAAGCAGAATCAGGATCTTAATGCACATGTGTTCATTATTACGAGGACCTCTTCTTCGGTACCTTCTGGTTTATAAACCTGGATGGACTTCCTTGCATTATATTTATCTGGCAGTCACTTTATTTATTTCATTAAAATTCTAACCAAAGGAGTGACTACGGCATCACTACAATCCTTTGAACAAAAATCTGCCAATATACTACTGTCAGAAATTAATCATTATTAATTAATCATAAATAATCATTTTTAATGACTGGGTTTAAAACACAGCCAAGTAAGAATGTTTATAGCATTTTGAGAAAGGGTTATGCTTTATGTTTATTTATCTTTATCTTTTATATATGTTTTATTTTTATATAGTAACATGCACTTGTTTTACATGATTAATGTGCTTTGATACATCAGCTCAATTGCATGCCAGGACCTAAATCCATTTTGTCTAGCTGCTGGCATATTCTAAACTTCTCATGAATTTGTGATGCGTCCACAAGGTGCAAGGTACCTGCCGCACATTTGTCAATGCACATACACAGCAGACTCTAAAGAACTGGACAGCATTGTGACAGCGACATTCTGCCCTTCACCAGCTGAATCTATTTAACGTGTACATGTTGTTTCCTAAGTTCCAGCATGACCTTCACTTCTGAGGTTGTAGGTCCAACAAGGATTTTAAAATTCAGTTGAACTGGTTCAGTATTTATATCAGAGAATGATTCATATGCCAATTGTCAGATTTTTTGTTATGGGCCTTATGGCATTTATTTACTACATGTTTTATCCCCCTTTTATAAAACAGTATTTTTATTATATTTATATTCAACATTTCTGCCTCTTGGAACTAAGAGTGGCTTACAAAGTTCTCCTCCTCAACTCTGTGAAATAGGATAGGCTGGCAGTCACCAAAGTCATCCAGGAACATCACAGCCAAGGAGGACTAGAACCCAGATCTTCTGAATCCCAGTCCAGCACCCTAATCACTGCAACACACCCTCTCTACTGTTTCTTTGTTTGCTATTAAATAGCACAAGTGCTCTCTAAGTGGAATATTAGCAGCCTCAGAATATGTTTAGTTGGGCCAAAAGAGGGTCTTTTTGGTGGCTGCTCCTGTGCCCTGAAACTTCTTTCCAAGGGATGCCCATCTCATTTCCTCATCAGTGACCTTCTAGAACTCAGTGAAGACATATTTTTATGGAGGCATTGGGCATGTGAGAAGTGTTATTTTTGGAAATTTTATTCTTCTTAGTTGCCTTGAAATTCTAGGAGCAAACGTGGGGTGATGTGTTTTAAATTAAATAAACCAGTAATGATGTCCAGGTCCTGCAAGGTGCCCCCACAGCACCCCCACAATCATTGACTGCGACTGACCTGCTATTTTAGAATCATGGGTCCAGAAGATGCTAGGCTGTGGTGCTCCATTCATTTACTTCTTAAAATATTTCTATATACTTCCTCTTCTGCTCTTCTCAAGGTGGCTTATATTCACAGATGGAAGTGACTAGCTAAATGCTTATTTCAGAAATCTTAAATAGCAACACAAATCCCCATGGTTTTCTCTCGTACAAACTTGCACACACATGTGGAAGCGGCTTTATATTCCATATTATTTCTTTTCCCCATGGCTTCCAAAGGTTATTTAGGTGATACAAAATGGAGGAGGTGCAGATTTCTTCTTGAAATGGAAAGAAACATATAAAATAAGAATATAACTTGTGTGCAGGCTGCACATAGAAAGCTAGCAAATCAAGAAGCCTACAGGGACTGAACTGTGCGAAGATGCATTCTAAGCAAATACAAATTGATAAATTCATTGCTGAAAATTCGAGAGCTTACAGCCTGGCAGATATCCCATTGATATCAATTCCCTGCTGAGTAAAACAAAGGAATAGAAACATCAAACCCTTCTCCATCAAAATATGCCTAACTCTTTCTGACAATGCCACATTTGAAAAGGTTTTTTTCCCCCCCAGCTTACCCTGGGTATTATTAACTGCATGTGTGATGAAAGTCAAATGAGTGTGGCTTTTGAGGCATTTGTCCTTCCTTTGCTGTCTCTAACAGGCATTCACTTTAATCAACGGACAAAGGAGAAACAGAAATGATTTCCCCACTACCCTGCCCTTTGCTTTGTAGCACATCAGCATGACGGAGTTTGCTTCTTCCTTTCATCATGACCGAGTGGCGCAGCAGCACATTTGCATGCCGCTACATGCATCTCTGATGTTCGGTACCCTGTACAAGCCCAATGCAAATCAGCACAAGCCAATATATGGGGTCTTTATTTGCACTCAGAGACGCATTCACTGCAAGTACCTAATGAGGCTTCTTATTCTTGGGCAAGAAATTATGTGGGTTATCATAGCATGTCCTGGGTCATATTTGCATGCTCAAGGTGGTTTTTAATTTTAAAAAAATCCTTAAATCACTAGAGAACCATGGGTCCAGCGATAGCTGCGCATCAAATGGAGGAAAACAAGAACAACTTCATTATGGCATCTATATGCTGTCATTGTAATATTGCAATATTTAGCTCAGTGGTTCAATCCTTGCATGTGTGTTTTCATTTAATATATATATATATTCACATAGACATAATCAAGTATCCCAAAACCTGCCAGTTTAAGACAAGAGTTAGGACTACCACGTGCCAGCTGAAGTTCTACAGAGCCAGGCAATTGGAAGGTGCAGCATGGCCTCTGAGCAGTAACAGCATATTGTGCAGTGCTAGAATTGTGCTTGCATACAGCTTCATGGGCCCAAATTCCGATGGGAAGAATTGAGTGTCTGAAATTGCTTGTAGGATGACTTATAGGATGTAGGAGTTAAAGATAAACTCTGGTCTTAAACTGCCCCTTTTTAATTCGTTGAATTTTGCAGATTTTTGAAAAAGGATCTAGCATTACAGGGTAAGCAATCCCACCCCGGGCCCAACACATTTGATTCTGTTCATGCGACTGTTATTTGTGCCTTTTAATGTATTAATATAGTCACATATTTAATTTTCTTGGAGTTAAATGAACCTCCCCCCCCCCACCAATCTTGGCAAAGGATGTCCTTATTGTCTACAAAAAGGTGAATTTCTTGCAAGAAAGCAACACCCATTTTTGAATGCTTGAGTTTGGAAGGCTCTTGTATCCTCTTCTTAGGCATGCCTAACCCCCTAATATTCCAGGTAATCATGTGATGACTCGCAAACTAGAGGCAGCCTCTGTAAATTATAAATCTGAAAGACTTATTTACAGCCACTTTCCCACACCACTTATAAAGCCTAACAAGGATTTCACATATATGAATTCAGCACTACACAGATTCCTTCATCTTTGTTCATCTTGTCTGTTTAGATTTTAAACTGTGGACAGGAACTGTCTTACTTAATTGATTATATGTAAGCCATTCTGAGAACCTTTGTGTCTGAAGAGTGGCATAAAAATGCTTCAAATAATCTTTTAAAAATCAGATACCAACAAATGCCACAACATGTGGACCAATATAGAAAAGCTATTGTTGTGCAGACATGGATCCCTGCCTTTTCAAATGATGGGATATGCCAAGGTGAAGGCTGAACTGGCACAGGGTGTTACAAAGTTACAGATGGGTGAAAACAGGTTTAAAAATAAGGGAAAGAAGAAAGAAAGAACTTCCTGGCCTGTCGTTGAGTGAGATACTATAAGGAAATGATGGATTACTTGTCTCTGCTTCAGGCTTATGATATCATGAAGGTGACCCATGGGGCTGAGCACAGCCTACTACAAGACTTGATGATGCTGAAGGAGGAATGTGAAGCAAGCAAATCTTTTGAATAAAAAGGAAGACCCGCAAGACATTGATCTTCAGAAGGAAAATGGAGCAGAGGATGGAAGGAGAAAGGGCAGTGAAATACCCATATCCATAGATCAGATCCCATTGATCTGGCTAGAGCAAAGACAAAGTTCCATTTTGGTTTTGTTTCATTGTATAAATTCTGTAGTGTTTGTTCTGTACATTTCCCAACTGATGTTCTCACTAGTTGATATTTCCAGCAGAAATATACTGCCTGCAAAGTAGAAATTTGGACAAATCCTGCTAAAGGTACAATCAATTTATGTGTGAAGCACAGAAAATGTTAATGTGTGTAAATACCATTCTGCATTGATCATAGGTTTTGGTTGTTGGGGTTTTTGTTTTGTTTTGGGGGGGTTTTTTTGGCATACCCCCTCTATGCCTTGAACTATGTTAGTATATGGAATAAATTAAAAATAATAGAGTCAAACACTTTAATCATTAGAAGTATTTGTACTTAATTTTTGACACTTCTTTTCCCCCTTTATTGCATTGCTTCTTTCTGTCCCATGCTAATTATGTCATTTCCGGTCATGGCTTAACTCTTGCTTAGAATACCTTCTGTTAATTTGCTGATCACAGAAGCTGCATTTCAGGTTGGATCTCATATTTCAAATTTATAAACCTGTTTTAGCTCCTAAGTCATTTGAGTAGTCCAGTTTTAATAGTATTAATGCTTGATTGGTGCTGTGAAAAGTCTGACTGCGGTAATTTCATGGTTTTACTGAATACAAGAAAGTTGAGGAAGCACTCATAGTAAGGAAGACCAGACCCTTTAGGCTACAGTCATAAGCACATTTGCTACTGAATAAGCCACTTTGAACAGAATGGGCTTACTTCCAACTAAACTTGCATAGGATTGCACTACTAATCTTACTGTATCATTCAAACACTTCAGCCTTGCACTGTTGCCTAGAGGTGTACTTTCACGTGTGGAATACCAAATGCACTTACCATAAAAAGTCCAGAAAACAAGGAACTGTCTTACCCCATTTCAGATCCTTGACTAATCCGGTTTTTGACTGGCTACAGCTTTCCAGAGCATTGGTCAGGGGCTCTTGCTGTTCTGCCTACCCTAAAATGGACAATCTAAGCATTGAAATGGAAGACTGTACAGATTAGAATCTGAACACTAGGTTCCCAAGAATCTGTGCCGATGCTAACAGTGACACTGCCAAGCTACAAAAAGTACATTACTTGCTTTATGCAGTAACTTTGTTGTGTATTCTTGTCTCCATTTTGTAAAAAATTTTGTTTTAATACACAAAGTGCCTGGTTAAGAGGCCACTTCAGCTCCTACTCACTGAAAGGAGGACCATAGCACTTGGGATAAATTCCTCCCCAAAATACCTTGTGTGATCCCCAAGTTCCACGTGATGTGACTAGTGGAATCATGAGAAAATGTTGATGCCATTCACATTTTTCACTCTAAAACATGAAATATAAAATATGTATGCATCAAAATACTTAGTGGAATAATATTTAGATCAGGTCTTTACAGCAAAGTAAAGACAGTGGTGCCACTGTACCCACAAGGCCCGGCTGTGGCATCCATCAAGCTCTTTTCCCATTCCTTGCTGAAAAACACCTGGAGGGGGCAAACTTCACCTCACTAAGTAGCCTTGGGGCAACAGGGTTTTTGGTGGTCTTCACTGCCACCTCCATCCTTTTTTCTTCCTACTGTGAGCATGAATGGAAAACATGGAAGGAAGCAGCCAGGTGGAAGCTTCCTGTGTTTTTAATAGCCCTTCCTGGGAAAAGTAAAAATTTCCCATTGGCTGAGATCATTTGTGCAATGCTGTTACACTTAATTTTTAACCCTTAAATGGATGTCAACCAATCAATATTGCTAGGTATATTGCTATACCAACCAGCCAACCAACCAATATGCTAGAAGTGTACGACTTGTATGAAGTCATACATACAAGTGAAGACTTGTATGGCTTCAAAACTCATTTAAGATGTCTTTTTTTGCATTCAGTCTTTGCCTCCCTGCTGGACAATTTACTGCTGTCTGTATAGCCATAGCTGCCCTTTCATTCATCTTGAGTGAACTTCTCTTCAACAATAACTTGGCAGCATTCATTACAATGCAAGGAGAACGCATTGCAAAGGAAATGAATGGTCCAGGCACATGTTACGGCCACATCTCATAAATGCTTGAGGATAATGTCCTCTAAAGTTGTTTGTGCAAATTGTAGCAAATGAGACATCATGCACTTGCCTGAGAGATACCAGAGGCCAAGCAAGAGACACATTTGGGAACTGGGTGGTATATAGATGAAATTGTTGTTGTTGTTGTTGTTGTTGTTATTTCTTCACAGTGCTACCACTCTGGCTGCATAGCCATATATGTAACCAAAGGCTGAATCCTGTCCAGCAGCGAAGCAACCTTGGTTGTTTACTTTTAAAAATTGAAGGTATGAAAGTGAAATTTAGAAGTTAGACCAGACCCAGGCATTTAGGGCCAAGCGAGACATGATGCACATTAATTGCCTGAAAACAATTGAAACAACTAAATGCATGATAATTAAACACATAAATGGAATTGATCCACACATTTTGATAAACATTGGAGTTGTAGGGGAGCACAGCAGGAATGGGTTTATGGGGAGTGAATGGGGAACTGTACCAGTGAAAAGGTACCTGCCCAAGCTGGTATTTGCATCAGGAAGGAAAAGCTTCCATGAACACTTCTCCCCACTCCCACAGTCCTACTTCTATCCCCACATGTGTGCATACATGTGCACACACTCACTCTGTTTACATGTTTGTACTTTAATTGCATCCACATATCCTATATGGTGGGTAATTAGTGGGGTTCCTGCAATTGCATTGTGAACAACTTTTGAAAAAAATTCTGAGCATGCTTTGTGCTGTAATGCTATTACCAGGTGTTTATGGGAAGGGAAGCTTGTTTAGCATTTAGAGTTTCTGCTGTCCTCATATTGGAGATGATTCCCTGCCATATAGCCTGAAGGGTCTGATCCTCCCTAATCTTGGAAGCTAAGTAGGGTTGGGCCTGGTTGAAGTCTAGATGGGTGACTTAAATGTCATGAAGCCAAATGTCATGAAGCCAGAGAGCTTTGGCTGTGGATTAGGGTTAGTTTGCAGTTTGGCTTATTTTCTCATGCAAAATTATCTTTATGGAGAAATTGGCAAGAAAATTTTGTTAAGTAGACTTGGATGAATGAGCCCCTTTTTACTTTGGATCAGTTTCTCCTGATTATATAGTTTTGCCATTTTCTGCTTTGCATGCTACATCTAAATTACCAGTTACAACTTCATGGCAATATATCCAACTGTAACATTTGTTAGAATCTAGGTTTGGTCTTGCTGTTCTAACAGCTTCAGAGCTTCCTGTGTTATTGGAAGTATTAACTGATGCCAAACAGCTACATCAGTTCAGGAATTCATATGCGGAAAGGTCTATTATCAGTGGATAGATATGATATATAGGGTTTCAAGCACTGAATAACAAACTGGAGCACCCCATTTTGCCCATTCAATGAAGTCTTTCAGTATTATCAATTTCACAAAGGATTGTGGATCTTATGTTATGTTATGTTAGTCAGGAAGTTGTGCCCGATCCATCACGACCCCATGGACAACCTTCCTCCAGGCCTTCCTGTCCTGCACCATCCCCCGGAGTCCACCTAAGCTCACACCCACTTCTTCAGTGACTCCATCTAGCCACCTCGTTTTCTGCCATCCCCTTCTTTTGCCTTCAATTGTTCCCAGCATTAGGGTCTTCTCCAATGAGTCCTTCCTTCTCATTACGTGGCCAAAGTATTTGAGCTTCATCTTCAGAATCTGTCCTTCTAAAGAGCAGTCAGGGTTGATCTCTAGGACTGACTGGTTGGATCTCCTTGGGGTCCAAGGGACTCGCAGGAGGCTTCTCCAGCACCACAATTCAAAGGCATCAATTCTTCGGTGCTCAGCCTTCCTTATGGTCCAGCTTTCACAGCCATACATAGCAACTGGGGAAACCATAGCCTTGACTACACGTACTTTTGTCAGCATGGTGATGTGTCTGCTTTTTAGTATGCTGTCTAGATTTGCCATGGCCTTCCTCTCAAAGGGCAAGCATCTTTTAATTTCTTGGCTGCCGTCCCCGTCTGCGGTGATCTTGGAGCCCAGGAAAATAAAATCTGTCACCACCTCCATTTCTTTCCCATCTATTTGCCAGGAAGTGATAGGACCGGATGCCATGATCTTAGTTTTCTTACTGTTGAGTTTCGAGCCAAATTTTGCGCTTTCCTCCTTCACCCGCATCAGGAGGCTCTTTAGTTCCTCTTCACTTTCTGCCATTAGAGTGGTATCATATGCATATTTTTCTTGTTGATATTTCTCCCGGCAATCTTAATTCCAACTTGTGATTCATCTATCCCCTCCTTTCTCATGATGTGCTCTGCATATAAGTTAAATAGACAGGGCAACAGTATGCAGCTTTGCCAAACTCCTTTCTCAATTTTGAATCAATCAGTGGTTCCGTGTCCAGTTCTCACCCTGGACACAGAACATGAACAAATCGGGTCACAAACAGAAATTTCGTTAAAATTTTGACTTGGGTCACGAACTCTGCATTGGGTGGCAACCAAGATCGCAGCCATCTCCCTCCCCCCCCCCACTGAGTGGGGAGATGGCCATGATCGCAGTTGCTTTTGCGCAGGGAAGGAGTGTGTGATCACAGGCGCACTCCTGCAAGAAAGACGAGTGCAATCTCAGCCATCTCCCCTGTGGCTGTGCTGTGCTGTGCCCGTCTTTCCTGCAGGAGCGCGCCTGTGATCACGCACGCCTTCCCTGCACGAATGGAACTGCGATCGTGGCCACCTCTCCACTCGGGGGGGGGGGGGGATGGCTGCGATCACAGTTCTGTTCATGCAGGGAAGGTGTGCGTGATCACGGGTGCGCTCCTTCAGGAAAGACAGGTGCAATCTTGGCCATTCCCCCCCCCCAACAACCAGCACAATTGCGGCCATCTCTCCCTCCCTCAGCACACCCCGTTTGCACTCGTCTCTCCCCCCCCTCCCCTGACACCACACCAGGATGACGGGCTCCTGCAGGGATGACGGGCGTGTGCAGGGATGACAGGCACAATCTCGGTCATACTGGGGGGGCAGGGAGATGGCCGCGCTTGTGCTTTGGGTGGGGGGGGGGGGAGATGGCCACAATCTTTGTTATTGTCACTTTGCTTCACATTTTTCTGATTTAAAAAATGGTTATAGAATGGATTAACATTATTTACATTGACCCTTATGGGGAAATTGAACTTGGCTCACGACCAGTTTGGGTCACAACCAGGGTCCTGGAATGGATTAAGTTCTTGAGCCAAGGTACAACTGTACTACTGCAGTGGAAAGATAAGCTGCCACCTCAATAACACCAGGGGTGGGGAATTTAATGAAACTTGAATGGGTGGCCTTTAAGAGAACATTTAAGGACATTTCAGGTGCCTTTATTGAAGTATATGCACAATTATAATAATAGCATGCTCTGTAATATACTAATATATAGGGATATATATAACTAGTTCTCTGGATCTTTTTGGATTTCACTCAAGAATTGTACTCTTTTAGTTCTCTTCTTCATCTTTTCTTCTCCAGTGGTGTGGTTTGATTGTGTTTGTATTGCATATCAAAAATAAATTAAAGGAATACAGCAGAGTGTTTTTCGTTCTTGTGTATCCTCATCAAAACATTTCAAAGTGGGTCATGGGTCACTATAAGAGTAAGGAGTTCAGATTTAGATGTATAGTAGATGAAAAGCCTCAACTGTGGTGAAATGTGAATCCCCCCCTTGATTTCTAAGCCAAATCATCCAGTGGGCAATCAAGGGTTGATTCTTGATTGCCCACTCTCTAGACTGTGAATTTGAAGCACACAGGGTGAAATCTAAGGTGGTGTCCGTGCAAGGCAGTTCGCAGAACAGATATTTCCATTTCGTTTCTTTCCCTTGCAGCATACTGTACTCCGTGAAAGACCTCCCAAGAGATCTCAATGTCTTATGGGCTGCAATAGGTAGGGGGAATTGACCCAAATCAGCTGGATGGCAAATAAAAGCATGCTCTGCTCAGTTTTCAATGAGTACAGGCAGCCCATATGGGGGGAGGGGACTTTCTTCCTCTTGTGCAGTTGGAGACAGTGGCTGGATACAGCCCATATCATTTCGTGCTGCACCGTTTTTGTTACCTTGCGGCCAGTTGCTAAACCACTAGACTAACGAGGGAAAGCTTTCATAAACACTGGTTGAACAGTGCATTGGCTTGTGCATATTTCGCACATGGAGGTTGTCCAAACCGCACGTCCTTTGTACTGCTTCTCACTGATTACAATTTATTTCATTCTCTGTGTTCCTCTCAGCAGGAGCAATAACTGAAACAGACATTAAGTTTTGTTGGAGAGTTATTTGCTGGACAATTTAATTTCTGGTGGGCAGAGCTGTGGAGCAGCAGAGACAGCAGGGGTGTCGTTCCTGCTCTCTTCACCCATTATGGCTTATGCGGGGAAAACGGGAACAGCCAGGGCTTGACAGCTCCGTGCGATTTAAATAAAGGTTAGTTCAACAATGCGGCCACAATCAGTTCAAGGAGAGGCAAAGGACTCCTGTTTATGAGGTATTTTAACTTTTGTCAGTATTTTGATACCTGAATGCAAATATGTGCAGGATGTATTGGTTATGAAAGGAATGCATACATAAACTGCTGCTTTCTCTTGTGGTGGCATAAATAGGGGAAGGGAAGCCTGCTCACATACTTTGCAAATACAAAAAATGCCATTTTATTCACAGTCACACCCTTCATAACTGGTACAAATTGTGTTCAAATTGTATGCATTTCTCTCTCTGCACGCACACACACACATCAAAATCCTGCGGAAGTTGACATCCTCGTCAGCTTTTAAGGAAGAGATTTAAGTATGTGATTTTGAAATACAATGGGAATTTAGTGGAATTATGTGCACATGTACATAGAAGATTGGATCTGGATCTGCCACCTACAAGAAGAAAGGACAAGAGGTGGGCTCCATTTGTCAGAGGTCCCTCTACCCAGTTTTGGGGGACTCTCCTTCCCACCACCAAACCTCATCTCATACATCAGAGTCTCCTGTATTGCATTTTCTGACGCCTGGAGGTGTTAGTATAGGAAGGAAGGGGCAGGGAAATCAACTTCCATCAACACAATCCAGCACAAATCTGGATCCAACTCATGAAACTTTGGACTCAGTTCAAGTGCACCACAGGTGCTGTGTGAGGGGAACACACCAAGAGGTGCAGCTCTCGGGGCACTGGCTGTCATGCCCGCACTGCCATCATGCTCAGAGAAGGTACCAGAATCTTCAGAGCCACATGGTCGCGGGAACAGGTCACCTCTGAACACTCCACCACTACCCAAGGTGGTCTGGGATCCTCAAAGCCGCGCTATCTATTCTGCCTCCTGGACAGCATTTAATTCTGCTTCTGAGGCACACTTCTGGCCCCAACGACATGGGCACCTTGAGAGTTGTGATAAGATGGTGGCCAGGCAGAGGAGCCCTTCCTTACTAAAGAGGGCTCTCCACAAGAGAAGGCCATGTGACCCGAGCATCTGATGTAGCTGAGGCCTCCGTGTGGCTCTGGCAGCTCTAGCGATATCAGCTCTCAGATGTGACTTGAAGACTGATGGAAACAATGCCTCATCTTGAGTTCCACTTTGCAACTTCCCTGGCCTTGCATTGCACTTGAAACTCTGTGTTACTGACCTCGGGACACCTGCTGGGCCCTGCAGTTCAGATCACATTTCTACTCGGCTGCTTTCCTGTGTTTTGATCTTAGCTGCACCTTGGACCCCCTTCCCCCCAGCCGTCAAAGTGTGCCTTGAACATTCCCTGTATGATTTTGTTTCAAATTTGCAAATGTAGCAATAACGAGAGAGGAGCAGGGGGAGAAAGAAAGAAAATAATAATAAAGAAATAGTACATAATAAAGAAAAAGAAAAAGGCAATGATTCATGGTAACTTTTTCTTTGAATAACCTAAGAACTTAACCTAAGGACCCCGGGGGTGTGGAATGGGCTTCCACAAGAGGTCGTTGAGGCCCCGGTGAGGGTGTTCAAAGATAGGCTGGACATGCACATGGTGGGCATGTCATGAGCAGAGCCAGCTGGTGCCAGAGGTCATACTTGATGGCTCGGGAGGCCCCTTCTGACTCGTTCTGTTTCTATGTTTAACTTCAGAAGAGCCATCCTGGATCAGGGTCCATCTGGTGTGGCCAGGCACACTGCCTCTGATACAGAGGGTGGCCCAGGGCCATCAGGACTAGTGGCTACTGAGAGCCTTCTCTGCAAATGTGTCCAATCCCTTTGTGAAGCCAGCCAAATTGCTCACCAAATCCGTGTGGCAGTGGATTCCCTACTCACCTTGTGAGGAACTACTGCTTTTCTTTGTCCTGAATTGCCCACCAACCAGCTTCATGATGACATCAGGTTCCTGCATTATGAGAAAGGTGAAACACCATCTCCCTACCATGCATCATTTTGCAGACCTCTGTCCCGTCTCCTCTTAACTCTAAGCTGCAAAGTTCCACGGGGGAGGAAGTCCTTGATCATTTTAGTTGCACTTTTTCCAGCACGATGATGTCCCTTTTTAAGTGCAGTGACCAGAACTACACATAT